ACTCAAAAATAAAATTTTGAATCATCACCAAAACAAAAAGTATACAGATCTTAAGGTTAATATAACTATGAAGTGTGTAAAGTTTTAAGCAATAATCATAAACTGTTTTTGAGATATGGCACAACATGTGAAAAACCCCTCCCCCTTTTTTAACAAAATACTCAATATCTCTAAAATAAAATTTTGAATCATAACCAAAAAGTATACAGATCTTAAAATTAATATAACTAAGAAGTGTGTAAAGTTTTAAGAAATAATCATAAATTGTTTTTGAGATACGGTGCGACATGTGAAAAAAAACACACACCTGTTTTAGTTACCGTTCCTACTCGCTTATTAGTCCGAAAATTGGGAGTAAAATTCATAATCCAGAGAGGGGGACCGACTAATAGACGAGATCTAGCGACCAGAGGAAAAATCCAAGCTTGAGAAAAGTGGTCAGGAGTGAATTTCCTGGTCAAAACTACGTTTTTGATTGCCAAACCTACATAAGTCAATAAATAAAAAGTTTTTGTTGAAAATAAATGACTACAATACTGTCTTTGTGTTTTATTTGTTCTTTGGTAAACATTTTCTGCAAATTCGTGTTGAAATTCTACTGTTTCCGGTTTGTGTATTGATTTTCATGGTCACATGGTTTTCCTAAAAACCCAAAAGAAGAGCCAAGAACCAAAAATGAAAAGGAGATAACAATGTACCAAATATGTGAAAGGATGTTTTCAGCGGAGTTATTGTGTCATTATTGTGATATCATGATATCAATTCAATGCTTATAAATCATATAATAATCAAAAAATAATTTTAAGATTCATTCCCAAAATCAAAATATTATTCATTAAAGTGTCTCAGGTAAACAAAAATTACAAAATTGATTGACAAGCCAATATAATCCATTGATAACCCTAATTAAGAGACAAAGAGTTGTATTTACTAAAGGTGTGAAAACTATCAGTGATACATGTAGGTAAACAGATGACACTAATGAGTTGGAGTTAGTTATTTTAATATATTGATTAGCTTCACTTAATTTTTTTAATCCTTTAATCATCACAATATAATAAGAATTATGAAGTGTACATGCTCATTTAACACCGAGTTATGTATGCTGTGAAAAATATTTTCATCAAGTGTTGATTGACTTTAAATTTTTCAGGTTCATATTGGTTTATATTCGCTTTTCTCAAACAATAGGTTGTTAGTCATACCCTACAAATTCATTGATGCATTACGTAAACAACACATGGCTAATCTAACATTTGAACAGTGAACAAAACAAGAGAAATGAATACATCTTTATTATTAACAGCAATATAAATTATCATGATGAGCATCAACTAAATTCAAACCAAACAAACATTAATGCAGAAATGAGTATTATTCCTGGATTTGCATTGGTTTTACCGGCGTTCAGTTACTGTCAGCTGAAAAAAAAATGCCCAAATTTTGTCCGACTTATACGAGGGTCAAGACTAAATCCTTAGAATTTGGAGCTGAAAAGGGCCCCCGACTTATAGTAGGATCGACTATTAGGCGAGTATCTACAGTACTAAGTCCCGTAACTCAAAAAGTTTTAATCTTATTTTCACCAAAAAGTATACAGATCGTTTGACCATCATAAGAAACAACTATATTAAGTTTCATGAAATTTGGATAAGTCATTCTCAAGTTACGGTGCCACATGTTTACGCTGGACAGACAGACGGACGGACACCGGACATTTGTATACCATAATAGTCCCGTCAAAAATTTGACCGGCCTATAAAAACCAAAACTGTATCTAGACATGCCAGAGGTAAAGATATGGTATTCAACAACAAAGGTCTGTAGGTGTCTAAACAACATTTACAATATGACCAGCTGTATGTTTATTTCAATCAAAAAGAAATGTAAATAAATAAATTTAAACATGTAGAAACACACTGTAACTTTAAAAGAACTGATATCATCATTAAATTCTCTCATTGACAAAAAATTTAAACCTACAATGAACAATGATGTATGACAAAAGACATTTCTATTTCTACATTTTTGTACTTAAAATTAGCCAAAGAAATGTTTTGTGGTACATGTACTACATATGTACATTTGTACATGATGTGTAAGATAACTACAACATGCACATGTTAATGAACCTCAAAACTTCAATGAATAAATAGGATTTGGCTACATGTACAAAATCAAATGAAACTAATTTTAACTTAAATGTGTTGAACATGTTAAAAGGGCAAAATAAAGAATGTTAATTGAATTGATAAATTGAAGCCTTGAAGTACTTGAACAAGTTAAAACTGTCCCTCTAATATTTTGTCTAATATTATGTCCCTATGTTATAAAGGTGTATAATAGGTGTTTTGAGTAAATGCCAAAATCTTTTCGAGAGGAATTTAAAAGGCATATTTGTGTACCCTTTACATACTAAATTGTATTAGGTTAAAGTTTACACAAATATCCCAACAATTAATGACCTAATAAACAAAACATTCAGTCCAATAATCGATGATATTTATCAATTAATAAAATACATGTACGATTTCTATTAAACATGTTAAAAGTTGTGTGTCTAAATAAATACAAACATTTAATTTGCGACTCATCAAGTATGTGACACAAGCTATGGTAAATATTGAGACTATAAACATAACCTGTATTATACATGTTATAGTAGATATTTACATGCTTATTTCTATTCACTGTACAATCCTCCTTATACACATGTTATATAAATCATGTAAATAGTAAAGAAAGAATAAATGCATCAAATTAATTCACGACACAATATCACTACATGCACGCATGCACTTGAGAAAAAACAAAATTCCAAGAAACAGCCCATTTATTATCTGGATTAAGGCCCTTAAGGGTGAGAAATTTGGACTGTCACTGGAAAATGAGGGTATCATCATCATCATCATCATCATCATGGTACATGTAGGATATATATATATATATATATATATAGGGCAGAGATAATCAGATTTTGCATTGCAATAGACCAAATATACAGATTGATCAGAGAGTTGTCTCAATTAGGGTTCTTAACATGAAAGAGTGTGGCACTCCCTCTGAAACAGATATGGATTGAATGTCCCATTCAAACTGAATGTGGCTGTGTATAAATATATTCAACACAGTCAAATAGAGGCCCTACAGATAGCAAGAATTTTACTGCCTGATGAGAGAAGTCAGGGAATGACCATATCTCTATACCCCAGTCAACCCTTTGCTGGGGGTAATATCAACACATATATTCATTATATCTATCATGTCTATATCATTAAACAAACTTTGAAACATGCAAGTTTTTTGCTATTAAAGATCTACATTGGTCTGAGACTTATCATAAAAGGGTAAAATTAAAGTTCATATTCTTAAGGTCAGCAACAGATCAATATTTTTCATCTTTAAACTCTTCTATGTTTGAAAAGATACATGCTTAACCTTTTGGACTTCATGATCAGGACAAATATGACAAAGAAATATATCAAAAGCCCCAAAAACTATATATATATATATATACAGTAATAACACTCCAGGTGATGCAGCTAAAAAGTCTTGGTTCAAATGCTGAGTAAATCCCCCATAGGCAGATCATGCCAGGATCCCCCTTTCTGGGAAAAAAATTGGATGATTACATAGGGAATCACTGAAACATGACTGTAGCGGGCCTCCTCTTATGGCAGTCAGTTCCCCCCCCCCCCACCTTATAAAAAGTTCTGGATCCACCACTGTCCTCTGTGAAATAGAGCTCATTGCTGGTCATTTGGATAATAGAAATCTGATAACTGTGTGTACACATTCATTTTTATTCGTGGAGTACCAATTTTCGTTTATTTACATTGGTCATGTTGGTAAACCAAAGAAAACCAAGAAATGGAATGTTCAACGAAGCATAAATTTTCTATAGGCTTGTTGTTGTAAACAAGCCACAAAATAAAGTATCCAGGAAAATACAATTTGTCCACTCTCGGAGAAAATTGGTAACAATGAATGTGAATCCACAGAAACATGATTTATGAAGCTGTTTGTACGGACATTAAATAACCCTGTACTGTACGAACTATAAAGTCATAACAACGAACTTATGTCAACCCCTCCCCCTTTTACAATGATGTTACTCACATGAACTATGGATATCATAAAGTATTATTTATATAAACTGATAATGTCCTTCAATTACGACAGTTATTCCATGGTAGTATGTATACATCAAACATATAAGTCAACAATGACAATAGTACAATAGTTATATGAGTCAGACATTTCCAAGCTGTTACTCTTACACTGGGATACCCAGTTCATTGATGAGTTTACTACACTATTAAACATTTATAAGATGCTTTGTCATATATATAGATAAAACAATTCCAATAATTATAAAACATTGTGATATTATACTTTGTTATGAGTTTATTCATCCATGTCTGGACAGAACAGGATAAAAAGTAAGATAACAAAAATACAGAACTCCAAGGGAAATTCAAAATGGAAAGTCCTTTATCGAATGGCAAAATAAAAAGCTCTAACACATCAAACGATTGGAAAACAACTGTCATATTCCTGACTTGGTACAGGCATTTCCTAATGTAGAAAATGGTGGATTAAACCTGGTGTTATAGCTAGAGCTAAACCTCTCACTTGTACGACAGTCGACAGTCGCATAGAATTCCATTATATTGACAACAATGAGTGAGCAAAGCAAACAGACAAGTTAGAAATTTTTTTTTTTCAAAGATTATAATTAACATGATTTTAAAAGTATATTTTTAATTTGAGATAAGAAAAAAACCTAAACTTGTATGTTAAAGTAACCCTAAAAATGCATTGCTATGGAAACAGTAATTACTTATCATGTTTATTCATTTAATTTATTTAAATTACTCAAAAGCCCTACTTACTGTTTAATCAATGGACTCCAATACTTTGACTATATTCTGTTAATGTTGTTATCATTCATGAATCTTAACCACACCCTTTTTATTATTAATCTGCTTTTAACTTACCTCTTTCTGACTTTCTTCATCCCCTCCTGAAGAACTAAACATGGCGGGAGATTTACTTGGAAGACTAAATGCAGAGTCCATGGAGTATGTCTTGTTTAATGAAAATCCTGGTGAGGGATTACGTAACGATAATGCTGGGGATGGATTAGACAATGAAAATGCCGGAGATGGATTTGCTGATGCTAAATATTTTTCTAATTCCAATTCGTCCACTCTAATTTCCTCTAATTTCTGAGCTAAAGTTCTACTGGGGGCTCTACGTGAGTGATGACTTAATATATCCGAAAAAGGTGTTGAGCAGACACTATCGTCTTCTGCAAAACCACCTTCACTTAAGGCTTTTTCAGCCTTTTTCAATTTTTGTAAATTCACAATTGCTAGTTTTCTAGATTCATCCAAAATTTTTCTTAATTCAGCATCATATCCATCCTTAATCTCAGTAAATTCTTTCTCCTTTTTGTTTTCTTCCACTGCTTTTTTGCGAAGTTTTTCTTCCAATTTTCCCCTTTCGTCTTTCAACCTCTGGTTCTCGGCTGCCATTTCTCTCAAAGTTTCTTCATATCTGCTTTTTTCTTCTTCTTTTGACATTTTCACAGCAGTCTGAATATCTTTTTCAACTTTGGCTTTTAACGATGACACTTCATCTTCCTTGTACCTTAACACCTGTTTTAATTCACGGTCTTTAGACTTTATTATAGAATCTTGTAAAATTTCCACCTCTCTCCTTTTTTCTTGAATTAACTTATCCTCTAAATGATGAATCTGATCTTCTTTTTCCTTTTCCAGTTTGCTTTGTATAGTTTTAATTTCTGAGGTTTTTTCCTTATGAACCTGTTTATTACGTGCCTTCTCCATTTCTAATTCACTTTTGAGTCGGGCAATTTTCCTTTTGTAATCCTCTATTGAATGACTAGAGCGTTCTCTCCTTCGACCTTCAGATTTTGCACTCTTTATACTCATAGGCGTAGAAGCTCTACTGATGTCGTTGAAATCAAACTCAAAATCATCATCTTTCAACGTAAACCTTCCACCAGAGTACCTTCTGCCCAGCTCCATTTCCGTCATTTTTTAGTGTAAATTCATTCAATTCCAAAATTCTGCAAAAAATAATTAAAACTTTCAAAATCATAATTGCCCCTAGTCACATAATAAATTTCTTTTTCACAGCACGCAAACATAATAAGTATACTTTTCTTTCATAGCACAACAATAGGTGAACAGCAGGGTCAATTTGGTTACATGACAATACACAAAACCCAACTACCCATAACTTTACAGATGAGTAAACATAATTCTCCATTCATATAAAATGTACATTGTAATGTATGTTTCAAAGTAATTATGAGATGGCTTTTCAATTTTGATTGAAAGCGGTGAACGGTTTAAAAATCTGGTGTTACTATCATAACTTTATAAACTGTTTTCCATCTTACCTTTATTTTGTTTTATTCAAGCCAAAGAACTTAGAGGTAACAGAAAAGAAAAGAAATAAAATATCAGATACCCTCAATAAATACCCCACCTTTAAGGAAGTTCAAACATATTCACCTAGTACTAGACTGCTATACTGTCAAACAGTATGTTTCAACTTCCATGAAATTTGAAGATAGGGATGCAATAAACATGATAAAGAGTAATTTCTGTTTTTTTTATAACCCAACGTCAATAATTTTCATTTGTAAAAATAAAAAAAAAGGGATTGCTTCCTCCGCTTTTAAACACAGAAAAACATATCATCTGGTGTCTCTGTGTCCAAAACTCCCAGGCATATTTACCTGGTATACCCCTCAGCACAATACTTCTGTTTTTAATAGAATAAGCTTTATATATTAAAATCATTGTTCATACAGTTATGCATGCATTCTAATCTATTAGTATATTTTGTGTTGTGTAAGGTATCTTCATTAAATTACCACATAGTCAAAATTGTATTTTACTGAATTCTGATTTCTGCCCCATGGTAAATATTTAAAGCATTCTGCAAAAGTAGAATAAGTAAACCCCCCCTCCCTATTTTGGTAAATAAAACACATATTCCAAATATATCTCTTAATTTTGTGCTAAAAAGGAAAAGTTTCACATTTCAATTTTTACATAAATCCATGCATATGACCTCCACTAAACTGCATCTTATATCATGTATATGTATGTTGTGTTCTTAGAGAGTCCCATGTTCATTCAAGTTTTTATCTCTTATTTTCCAAAACTAAGTCTATTGATTACAAATGTTGACCTTAATGAATTGTGCATACAGAAAACAAAACAAACAGCATTTGGTGGACAGGGTGTACAAACTTCAAGTTTCTTACCATGTGCTACTCCCCCAGTGGAGGGGTGAAAAAAGTAAATTAAAACTTATCTGTAGTGTACATCCAGCCACTAATACATTGTAAAAGCAGCATTCTAAATAGAATGCACTCCTATACATGTATACATAAGAAATCTATTTTGATTTAGACCATAGTAGAATTACATACAGAAAGTTATAACTTATATCATGTATATTGAAGGTGATATTTACTTATGATAACATTAATTCTAATCTTTCTTATATATCAAATATTGTACAATGTTTTTAAATGTAGGAATCAATGAAAGAGAATATTATTTATTTCTAAACTGTAAAAAGTAAACCACAATAATTTACATAGCACAGTTGACAGGTACAGTACTGTACACTGTATATTTGCAAACCATTGACAAAGAAAACTGATTAACAAGCTTTTTAACATAAGAAATTCCCATTGGGGAATCTTTATTCAAACTATTTTAGAGCATGTATTTTAATACATGTATTTGTGACATAATTGATAATAGCTTAAGATTTTCCAATTACCGGTAAAGTCAAGTTTATTTTAATAACGGCAACAGAAACGACTATTTATTTGACACAAAATTTTCAATAAAAAAACATCAAGAGAAAGTGACAACCTCAGACATAATTCCTAGTATTTATTCTAAAAGCCCCATTATCCAATTCAATCAGAAAAAGGGTATCCCTCATTTGCATTAAGTTTGCAAGATACCAAAACACAACTATTGATTGATTGATTGCAGGTTAATTCATTAGAAGCACTCTGAGCTTAGTTCGATGTGAGAACAGGACACACACACATATATTTTTAGTTTACTTAATATACATCAGGTCCTGGAAAAGTGGTAGTCCAAAGATCTAGACCACCAAAATTTTACCAAGGATAGACACAATTTTGGTATTTTGTAATAGAAATAATAATGAGGACCAGAAGATTTTCTTCAAGGACCATCAGGGAAAAAATATTTTGAGAATTATTTTCTGTACTTCTAAAACCTAAAGAAACATACTATACGATATACATGTATATTCAATTACAAAATTTTAAAATACTTGAAAGGTTTGAGCTATAAACATGATAAAGGATAGATACATTAAATTAAATGTACATACACAATCAAAAGACATTATCTCTTAAATAATCTATACAACCTAAAGACAAAATGATAAAGTTTAATTTACAAATTTATGAAGAAACAACAATATTATGACTAATTATGGTTGGATGAAACTTACATTCAGACTACAGGATTATCAGTTCCAAATCTTTAGATGATGTTCATCTTAAAATACCTGTGTCCATTGAACCATGACGAACCTAAAATTACAATTCAAAATATTAGCAGTCGGTCAATAACATAAATATTTTCAGTACTTAGTATTAAGGAGATCTTTTTCATGGCCATTAGTTTGGGTCGCCAACCAGATTTGTTTGATTTGATGCATGTTTAATAATAACTTTGTGTATTTATTTGAAAATATATCAATTCTGTTTTTAGTCTTCAGAAATTAAATAGCCATCGAAATTTATAATACCAGCTACATGAATTAAAGCCAAAAATAAGAGATAAAAATGTCTGATAAAATTTGTAATAACTGAACAAATTTATGAAAACCGGTTTCAATAACAACCTCACATCCATGTTTGACGCCCAAATTCATTTGCACAAGACATTATTAAAGAAAGAATTAAAATACATTTATTGCTTTCTGTCATCAAATCATCCTTTTAACAAATAAAACGGTTGGTCTGTTGATGGCTGCTAAATGTCCAGTGGCAAATATGACAAGCATATTTACGATGAAACACATGCAGAGTAAGATATTTAACAGGCTAGCTCTGCAGGTTAACTAATCAGGCTACTAAGGAAAACAGTGTTTTGTCTATATTCAAAGCTGTCTTTACTCTTTTGTCCTAGAATCAGGCTGACTAATAAGAAGGTAGGATTCTGCTAATATGACCAACCCTTATTTTTCCCCAATCCTCTAGATTTTTTGTCATTTATGAACATGCACTAGTTACTAAAAACAGACTATATATTATTCTAATGATTATTTGCCTATTATTGAGCCTTTTTCAGAATGTTAGCGAAAACATTGGTATTATTTTCAGATGCCGATCCAGGATTTTGAAAAGGGGGAGGGGATAAAAAACTAGGCAAAATTTTTAGGGTACTGGTAAAAAGTCTGGATTTGTCATTTATATAAAGCTCCATAAGGAGGGACCTGGCCACCCTGCCCCCCCCCCCCCCCTCCCACCCCCTAAATCCACCTCTGATTTTTTTGTGTCTCAGCATGCTTGGCAGAAAAGCATTAAATCAATTCTAAATATTACTAATGTTTACCATTCACTACATTAAAGTTCATCTTTTTTGGGGGGATAAATCTAAATACTTGTACATAATCCATGTATTAAATCAGTTGCTAAATATTCATAAAGTCACACCAATAAAACTGAAACAATGTCTATATTAAATTTCTCTTTTCACATTATTCTTTTCTTTAATTAATTGGTTTCAGTAGCTATCATCATGCCCTTTTTATTTTATGTATCCAAAAGACAATTTAAACTTTTTTTCTCAAGGTTTAATTTATTGTCTGAAAGAAAAACCATCACTCATCAAATTTTATTTGAAGAGCATTTAAAAATCATTTTTGAAATATTCCAATTGAAATCATATTTTGTCCAGCTTTAGTTTACATTCTGCATAAAACCAATTTGATTTTTATTTTCACAAAATCGTTCAAAAAGATCAAACAATGTAGAGCATGACTTTCTAACTTAAATCAGACAAATTCTGACAATGAACTTGATGTCTAATACATTTGTTTAATTACTTGGCAATACTATAGTCAATTTGAACAACTTAGGTATGAAATATTAAAATTCTTTGTGAATACAGCTAATTCAATAATATATGAGCTAGGTAGCTTATCTGGATTTTTATTAAGGTCACGCTAAATAAACTACTTCAGACCTGTTAACTTTAGTCTTTATTAGAATTTCAACGGTGTCTCTTGTTCAATGTCTACATGAAGTTTATAGCCTCTAGAAGGTCAGTTTATAGTCCAATATATATATACATTGCACAAGGTATATATACTACTCTAAAAGTCAGTTACATGTATGATATGGTGATGAGTTGAAAAATATATAAATGTGTAGTTAACTGGTTATAGGAGCAGTATCTTTTACAGTGTGAGGTACTTTTATAATTTTACCTTTGAAGTCTTAACAAACTGTTTCACATAATAAACTGAACTTGCTTGGACAATATAACAAGACCAAATAAGAAAGTGTATGTTAAGGGTTAGAAAAGTAGAAAAGATAAGTAGAAATTCTTGTATTATATTATCTTTTCTTCACCTTGACCTCTATAATTTGGGGACCTATGATTTTGTTAAGATTCACTATCAATTAAACATTAGAATAATAGGTATTTTTTGCAAAAAAAGGGTTGACAGGGAAATCCTAAACACAATTGTTTTTCTTTTATCATGTTTATTTTTGCCTTCTTTCTATTTAATGGAAAAATTCAAATGGGTTCAGTTTTTCCAAAATAAACAAAACCCACGAACTTGATTTTTGATTTAAAAATTTGTTTTTCAGCAATTTAAGAATGTGTTTTTCTTGCAAAAACAATATTGTGTCAAAACATGCAAAATGTCTTACCAATCCTATCCCTTACATCTTACAGATGAAAGCCATTAGGAAGAGTAAATGTGGTGACCACTGTGTGAAAGTTTTGTTTCCTTGAATAGTTTTAACTTTTTCTGAAATACAGGGCTCATGCTTCTGAGAAAACAAGTTGCCTTCTTGTCGATAACTATGCTTTTCAAGACCGCCAAAAGTGATATCTAGTTATCTAGGTGTTCCCAGTAGTTGCTTTCTTCAGTAATTTTCCATTTTCACCAAGGTGATGAATCAGCAAACAAACAAAATGAAATTCAAGTGAATTGTAACCTATAAACATTTAGAATCTGTTGGTCATTTAAAACAAAAAAATTCTGAGTCTTTATTACAGGGTGGGTCCATTTTTTTCTTCTCCTTTTGAAAAGGTTAAAATTTGTAGTATCTCTAGCTAAATGATTATTTTTTTTTTATTTTGCAGACATCATATAAGAAAGAAGATAGGAAGAGTTTAGGAAAAATGGATTGATTGATTAGTGTTTAACACCACTTTCAACGCTATTGTGCTATTTCGTGGTGGTCAGTTTTTATTGGTGGAGGAAGTCGGAGTGCCCGGAGAGAACCACTAACCTTGGGTAGGAAAACTGACAATCCTAGTCAATTAAGATTGGTGTCAAGTGCACCTGCCCCGTGAGGGATTCGAACTCACAACCTCAGTGTTGACTGGCTTGTGATACAGTAGTTCGACTACTTGTACCACTTGCATTGGCCACCGAGGCCCCCAGAAAAATTAGAGGAAAATAACATCTTAATCTTGTTTTGTCATGTATCAGTGGCTAAAAGATGTCATCCCTTTTCTGACGGACAGGACCCTTTGGGGCAACTAATAAAAATTGCTGCTGGATCGTTACATGTTAACATGTTTAAGCTTCAAATATGACACTGTCCTTCATTTTCTACATTATTAACAGATAAGTAACTTTTGAAGCAAAAAAAAATTATCACAATACAGTTTAATTATGGTAAAATGCAGAAAGTCCTATATAGGAGGCAATTTTCACATTAAATTGTTGTTAAAAATTCTGAGAGTCCTGAAGATTAAGTCGGTAGGTGTAACAATTTTAATTAAAGTGGGTCAACTGGCTGCCACCTGCATTAAGCTAGGGAAATTCTGACTGCCATTGTATTAAGAGAGTAAGTACAAATGTATATGTGGGGGCTGGTATTAGTCAGACTGTATTGGACACTGATACAGATATTATAGGTACATGTAACCTACAAGACTGACGAGTGACTAGGAATTAATGAAATCGTCAAAGCAGAAACAGACATTGGTGATAATAGCTCACAAAGTCTATGAACATTCCTTGACAGAAACCATGTACAATTATCCTAGTCTCATGGGTGTTATTAAGAATGCATTGTGACGTCACAATTTCCTTTGAAAAAGCATGCATAGTACGAATTCATATGACATACGAAAACATAGGATCTGACCGAATGCTAGTCGTTTCGTAACCTGGTCGTTTCGTACCTAGTCGATTCGTAACTAAGTTGATTTATAACTGAGACGTTATGTACCTCAGGTAATTATATATGGTTATAAAGTGTGTCTCTATTAGTTTTGTCTCTGGAAGTATTTATCTCTCAAAATTGTCTATATATTGCAGACGAAATAAATTTCTTGAGTTTTGTTCTTATTTCACTTGAGCTGGGGACCGGCGTTTTTTTGTTTTGTTTTTGTTAATCATCTTCCTTTAGAACATTAACTTCACTATGTTGTCCTTTGTTTCAACTTTGCATGTTTGTGCTGGCATAAAGCCTGATTTTTCATCTGAAAAAAACCTGGTATAAACAGGTAAAAAGTTTTAGTTGGCCGGAGCAGCAGTTGCATGGTTCGTAAACAAAAGCACATCTCCATGATCTCCTTAACAATGTATTACATGACATCTGGTTTTGAGTTTATTAATCCCAGAATGAGAATATGCGTCCTTGTATGATGCGGGACCAAACACGCTGATACCTTTTTAGTTTACCTTTGGATATATACATCAATTAGTCTATTTATTATTCGTAATCAAAATTATTATTTCCATAACCTACAACTCATAAACATTGTTATAAGGTTATGAAACGTTTCAGTTACAAAATAAACTAGTCAGTTACGAAACGACCTGCACCCATCTGACCATATATTCAATTTATAAAAATATGTCATCTCTCAATCTTAAATCTTATTAGAATTTGGAGTTGGCTCCATCAAAACGACCCCTCCCTTGGTCCAAATAATTATGACCTTTTGAAAGGCTATTTTATTTATTTTTTTGCTTTGAAGGCGTCAAACCAAAAATAAAATAGCCTTTCAAAATGTCATAATTATTTGGACAACCCCTCCCCCTATTTTGAGCGATTTTAGCTATAAGAGGTATAACAGGGTAGCCTGACATCATTAAGAGAATGGGGTAGTACACTTCAAAGAATATACAAGCTCTCAGTTTCGTACAAGAATCATTCTTGTATTATCACAGTCATTCGATTCATCCCCGCCAAGTGCCAAGTCGTGCTCGTCTTTAGAACTCTTCGGTCATTTCGTCAACCTCCAATCTGGCGTACCTAACAACCGGAATCTGTCATACGGCGAGTTGTGACAGCCCGTGCTACAGAAATTAACAAAATTCAAGCACGTTTTGCATTTGTTTAATTCGTAGATGCTTTCTGTATGAAGAATTTGTTTCTTTTATTGAACTGCTGATGAAAAATAATAATGTATTTAAACTGTTGAAGCATGAGTCACTTTCCAACCTTAATCAAACAAATTCCTACAGTCATTGATACAATATTTACAAAACATGAGAAATAACGTAAAAATATACACACCTTCAGAATTCTTTTGTCACAATCCAATCACAATGTTTTAAAATATTATTGCCATTTGGATAATGAGAGAGATTATCTAACTAATCACCGAACATAACACTTTCCCCCAGCAAAACTTTAGTCTTTTCATGTCTCCGCCAATTATATCACGTGGTTATCTTGTTTATGTATTGAACTTTATGTAAAAATTCAGTTGATCAATGAAAGAACAAGCCTTGACACGTATATATAAAATAAAGTTTAAAAGGATTTGTATTGAATATTTACAAAATCATGAGAGGGCCCTTGTTCTAGTGGAGTTATGTACTGGTTATTAGTTTGAGAGGATCAGTAAATTAATATATTGGAAGTCAGATTTAATTATATAATAATAAAAAAAAAAAAATACGCACAACAGTAAATACAAATATTTATAGCTAACTCTAGTTGACAAACAATTGGAACATCTCTATTCGCAACCGCTTGAATAATAAATACTGAGAATAAATACAATTAGTTTTTCTAAAAGTCACAATTTCGGAGGCGGATTTAGGGCGAGGCGGGCAGGGGGGCCGGTCCCTATTATGGAGCTTCATATGACAAATGCATATACTTTTTACATGGATCACTTGGCCAAACATTGGCTTGCCAGAGGGACCCCTTTTTTCAAAATCTTGGGACAGCACCTGGATTTTGCCTTAGTCTCACTGGCCAGAGACAGATTCATAGTATATACATCCTTGCTTATCTGTACCAGAGACATATGATACAATTTATACAGTATCTGTTATCCTGGGATCCTGGCTCACTGCTCGACAGTAGACTATCGACGAAGTATTAGATTGGGTCAGGATGCCAGACTAATGTATCTGTCTGTACTGAACCAAATGACCGAAAAAAACCGGGGGCGCAACACAATTTGCCAGCTGTCTGAATGCAAGCCCGGAACAAACTATATATATTGGCTTTGGTTATTCTTTTCCCAGAGACAAGTCATTAAAAAGGAAAATAACAAAAATACCGAACTCCAAGGAAATTTCAAAACGGAAAATCCCTTATCAAATTGCAAAATACATCAAACGAATAGAAAACAACGGTCGAATGTAGAAAAAGGTGGATTAAACCTGGTTTTATAGCGAGACAAACCTCTCACTTGTATGCCAGTCGCATAGAATTCCATTATATTGACAACAATGTGTGAGCAAAACAAACAGACATAATAGGTAAAAATGTCAAAAATTGAGGGGGGCAATAGGGGGTCCGTTAACATGTTAACAACACCTCGATTTTGGCAAAAACAGTTAACAACAAATATAAGATGCTGATAACAGTTAACACCAACTTTAAATGAATAACAGATAACAGTGGTGTAAAAACTTCAATATTACCTAACAACCATATTGAAAAATAGAACTATGTTAAGGTATTTGATTGTTCTATCCGAATTTGAAGAATTTTCAAAGCAAAATGGCGGGTGTCTTGCAAAAAGCAGGAAATGCTCACCCTTTCAAAGCATCTGAGTTTACTCCAGTTTTGATCATCGTAAGATGTTTTAGCGCGCGACCGCTGGTCTTACGACGAACAGGGGGAAAACAATATTTCATCGAGGGGAGAAATTTTTGCGTCCGAGAATTTTTTTTCTACGAGGACCATCGCAAGATGTTTTATCGGACAACCGCGGGTCTTTGCGATGCACCAGGGGAAAAAGAATTTCATCGAGGGGAGAAATTTTCACCTCATGGAAATGTTCTACGAGGACCATCAGAAGAAATTTTAGCGCTTTATTATAGCGGTAATGTTCTATCCGCAGGTTCACCTACGGAAAGCTTGTTACGACTTTTACTTCCTCTAGGCATTCAAGTTTGCGCATCTTTTCAATCCCTAGCACGAAGGAGGTTCAACGGGTTACCCGACCTTTCCAGGCAAGGGCAGAGACACGCTGATTCCTTCAGTGTAGCGTGCGTGCGGGTCCGAACATCTAAGGGTATCACAGACCTGCTATCGATCAATCATGTGTGGCTAAACGCCAATTGTCCCTTTAAGATGTTGAGCCGACGTAAATGGGGATCGGCGATTTATTAGCTGTTTTAACTGCAACAATTTTAATATACGCTATTAGAGCTGGAATTACCGCGGCTGCCGCGAGTGGCACCAGACTTGCCCTCCAATAGATCCTTGTTAAATGGTTTAAAGTGTACTCATCCCAATTACGGGGCCTCGAAAGAGTCCCGTATTGTTATTTTTAATCACTACCTCCCCGTGCCAGGAGTGGGTAATTTGCGCGGGTGCTGCCTTCCATGGATGTGGTAGCAGTTTCTCGTTGCTCCCTCTCCGGAATCAGTTACAACCATGGTAGGCATATCACGTACCATCGAAAGAAGATAGGGCAGATATTTGAAAGATACGTCGCCGGCGCGAGGCCGTGCGATCAGCACGAAGTTATCCAGTCTCACCAATCCGACCGGCACCTGCGAACCTGACTGGTTTTGATCTAATAAACGCGCTCTTTCCGCGAGGTCAGAGCCGTGCTTCATGTATTATCTCTATAATTACCACAGTTATCCAAGTAGGATTGTACGATCTAAGCACCATACCTGATTTAATGAGCCATTCGCGGTTTCACTATGTAAAAGTATGTACTTAGACATGCATAGCTTAATCTTTGAGACAAGCATATGACTACTGGCAAGATCAACCAGACAAGTACCCACAACCGTTTTTTTTTTCTTTGGTTTGTCCCGTATCGGTATCGGCCGAAAGCCAAGGTGCCGTGGACATTGAAGGGGGAAAGTTAGGGCCGCGCGTGATCCTACCGTCCAAAATCTTTGTTGTACCTCTTCACCAGCCTGCCGTGTCAACTTTTATGCATTTTGTTTTTTTCCCCATGCATCGTTTGTCCCGTCTGGTTTGGGTTCGTTCATTTCGACGTTTTTCTCCGTCAGAGAAAACAAGTCGATCGTTCGGACGAAGAAAGAAAGCTAAAAAGTGTGACGCAAAATTGATATCTCGTAGGGGATAAACCAAGCTCTATCCCCATCCTCGCCCTCCTCCGTAGTGCCGGCGAGGCGTGTATTATTTTTCTTTTCTTTTCCGACTCTCCTTTCTTTTTACCGTGCGCCGACCGTTTCCCGGTTGAGACCGGGGCGACCTTTGAGAGACGTGTCAGATGCATGCGATGATACCAACGCTAGTACCGTGCGACTATTTCTGGCCTGCGCCTCTGGACCAATGATTTGTACCCAGACTGTCTTGGCTGACCTTAGCCGGCGGTGTAGGGTCGTGCAGCCACTATGTCGCTTTACCAACTGACTTTTCTTGGGAGATCGGACAGGTAGCAACAGGACCGCATTCTACTACCTTCCTATAGCAGTGAAGATCGGGTCTTCACTTCTCCCATGATATGAAGTTGCACTTGACGCCTGGGGATTCCAAGATTTCATAAATACGGGCGGCAACCAGGGGGGGGGGGGGGTATGGACGGCTGTCAACCCGATGATCTCCGCTATGTACCTGACACATTAGTTGTTTGCCGTTCTGGCTGGGAAGGCATTTTCAAGATTTTCAATTTTTTTCTACGATACCTATTTTTACATAGATGCTGTTTATGTTACTCCTTTGATGTAGCACTGTAAACAAAGAGATTAACAGCAAATTTAATGTGATTAGTGTGAATCTTGAAAATTCTTGTAAATAACGGTTAACAGAGATAGATCATGTCAAAAATAGTGAACACTTTAAGTATCAAGTAACAGATAACAGGAATCCCATTTCCATATAAAACAGTTAACAACATTGCCAATTTTAACAGAACAGATAACAGACAGTGGGTTGAAAACAGTTAACAGTTTATATATATTTCAAATAACAGTTAACAACTGTCACCTTGAAATAGCCCAAAACAGGTTAACAGAAAAAGGTATTGCCCCCTCCAAAAATTGAGGTACAGCAGTCAACATTGTGTTGTAATCTTAATTACCATAAAAACAAACAACTAAGTCAACAAAAAAAAAATAGCATATAGACACATATCGAAAATGAAAGAAAAGAATAAAAAAAATGACCAAAGCACAATAATACAATGGCGGGATGTGTAAATACCGAGCCACGCCAAAAGGATATCACCTGAAAAATGAAATAAACAGTAAAGGTTAAAAATATACAAAGACAAATAAAAAGAACAGTATAACCCGTAATTAAGATGATAAACAACGTCAGCATCTAGAACCTATACTTCAAGACCATCATATGTTATTTGTGAAGTTGATACGGAATATTTATCAGCAAGGTCTTGGTACCTTCGGATATCAGATGAACTTTTTTTTTAAAAGGACGAGACGCTCTTTGACATAACCCTGGTTCATTAACTTTCTGCTGACACTGGTGCCAATTTATAAAGTGTGAGTAGCAAAAGACAATACAACCTGTATCTTTCAAATAGATCGTTAATCAACATGGAAGAAATGCTTTCGATGAGGGCCGCCACTTTACGATGTTTGCGTTCTTTCACGTACGCGTTACTAGAAACGTGTATCATGAAGGATGTAAAATCAAAACCTCTCGATTGCTTTTGTTCATCATTCCTATTCAATCCACGGTCCATCTACATGGGAAAGAAACTTAAAAGATACTGATGGAAACTTTATCTGAATGGATCAATGCTGTTGTGTCATATATTCAGAATGACATGACTACTACGATGTACCATGAGCATAAGAGCTTCTAAGGACTTGGAAGAAGCTTGTAGAGTTAGGGAGGCTGTTTCTTTTCTAGATCGTATAAACCGACTCGAGCGTTGTTATCCAACACCTACACCGTCAAAACAGTATTATGTGTATATGCAAACTGGAGGCTCTGAAGAGCCTGTGTCGCTCACCTTGGTCTATGTGCATATTAAGCAAAGGACACCCTCCAACATTGTAGACGAGAATAGAATGCATGACAACAATCTCTGTTTTGTTGATCCTGTAGTGCTGATCATTTTGTCTGTTCAGTTTCTCTCTATCTTCTTTAGTTTATGCGCAAAGCACAAAAAAGGGTAAAAAAAATCGTCATTTAAGGGCAATCACTCCTATTCTACTAACTATATCGGAAAAAAATTGACTTGTTAGTAGATCTTGCCTTGTTGATCATTTTTGTGATTTAAAGTGTCTATTTATCTATTATAATTTTTATCATATAGGGCAAAACG